TATATATATAATATATATTATCTATAAATTATCAATATATGTATTATCTATAAATTCCTCATAAATATCTTATATTAATTTTAAACTCTCTATGTATAATATTTTCATAAAATATATGCAGACTGAAGACTATTAGAAATGTCAGAATCACATTATAAATTATTTACAGCGTTTACAAAACATTTAAGCATCAAATCTACAATACCTGGCATTGACTGGTTATGAATATGTGACATGTGCCACTCGAGCGATCTCGTCGAAATCATTGATCTATTACAAATGTTACATGTATACTGCTTTCCATCCTTATGCTCTCTATTCCTGTGAATTACTAAAGTCGAATGATTCGGGAACTTCTCCCCACAAACTTGGCAGGAACATTCTTTCAAGCCTCTACTTCCCTTTTTTTCGTGAACTCTTAAATGCAGCCTCAAACCATCCCTCCGATTAAATCCAACGCCGCAAATATCACAACGAAATTGCCTTTGATCTTCGTGAATTCTCACATGCTGCTTCAAAGTCGAGCTGTTTTTGAACATTTTGTCGCAATGCGGACACTGGATACTGTAAGCTTTATGTGTGTGCATGTGTTTTGACAAACTGTAAAACGGCACTAATTTCCTGCAAACTGGACATTCCCTCTTATTTCCAACCGGTTGATGTTTTCTGATTCTATGATGTCTTAAACTCGCGGGATTCTTAAAATCCGCACCGCAATCCTCACAAAGATACGCTCTTAAAGTTGTGTGAACAGACTTTAGATGAAAGCTCAGTTTTTGTTTGAAAGCAAATTTTTTTGGACACTTCGGACATTGATAAATCTTCTCCAAACTCGTGTGTTGCGTTTTCTGATGCTGGTCCAGAGTTCCTTGATGTTTGAATCTTTCACCACAAATCTCGCAAAGTTGACCGTAAAGAGCATCAACATGTTTCTGTTCATGTTGACGTTTTTTTCCTTTGGAATCTAGGATTATGTCACAATATTTGCAAATGAATTTTTTCAGACAAATCATATTATGATTTCTTTTCGCTTTATTAGTTTGAAATTCCTCCCCGCAATCATCACAACAATTAAGGATACGGTAGTCATGAGACTTGAGATGTTCTTCAAGGATATCGCGATTGGAGAAAGTTTTGGAACAATAATCGCAATCTAAATAACTCTCTTCGGAAAAAAAGTCGATAGAAGGTTGAGTATTGATAGGATCCGATTTAGATGATGATTTTATAATCGTGGAGAATCGATCCTCATAAAGAGAAATTATGTCCTCGTCCTTGAGGCGAGTAAGAACAATTTTACGCAGCTTGAGATACTCAAGAAATTCCTAGAATAAAAAAAAATTGAAACTAAAACGACGAAATTAAAAAACCGAAATAAAATTCTAAATAAAAATAAAGAATGTTGTATACCAGTGATTCAAATGGCTTTCTTTATGACTGATAGTAGAGAAATAATTAAGAGAAAAATAGATAAAGTATTGCAGTAGCTTTAATAATATTTAATAATTAAATTTCAATTACCTGTAGATTTTCCGTTTTTCCCAAAACTTTTGTTAATTTTTCCAAATTCTCTTCGCTACATAATTCGTTCTGCTTAATTTGCTTAATTTCTTTTTTCCACTTTATGTCTTCCAATTTTTTCATTTTCAATAACTTTAAATGTTCTTCTGTATTATCACTAATCCTTTCTTGACTTTCCTCAATCTTTTCAACTTTTTCCATCTTCTCTTCTTCCTTTTTCTGCTTTTCCTCTTCTTCTATTTCCTTTTCCTCCTCTTTCGCTTTCTCCTTTTCATTCATCTCAACTTCTTCATCTTCTTTCACAACTATCACTTCTTCTTCTGCCCTTTCCAAGTCTGAAATGATAGAAATTTCTTCTTCTTGTACTTCTTTTTGCGTTTCATTTATAGTGTACGTTTTTGACGCCTGATCTCCAAGAACTTTTTCTCGTTTCTTTTTATATTCTTCGATTTGTTCCTCAATTATTTGTTCACGAGCATCAGGGCGTCGAGATGAAAAATCCTTCGTCAGTGTTTCATAACGTTTGAGAAAACGCTCCACAGGTTTTAGATCAGCAGAGATTGGCGGCGCTACTGTGCGCTTTTGTTCCGTAGGTTTGTCCATTTTCTTGACCTAAAAGAAGTCACAAATATATATATAGAAATATAATATATAAAATTATAATCTGTATGTCATACTTAAAAACACAGAAAGAAAATAATGAAACTTCTTGAGTAAACATGAAGTAAAATGACATGATTTAAAATGAAATAAAAAAAAGAGAAAAAATATAAATATAAAAAATAAAAACTAGAAAAATGGAATCAAATAAAGATATAAATATCGTGACACAATTTTGAGTATAATACAAAAAAATGGTAATTATTTATAATTTTTGTTAATTTTCTGTAGGGATACAACGAAATTAATAATCAATAAAAGATTGAAAATGAAATAAAATATAACATAATTCACAAGTGTTAAAACAAATAAAAAGAAAAAAAACGAAATAATTTCTCAACAACAAAATAATAAAATGGAAAAGTCAAAATGAAGGAAAACAAAAATCTATATAACAAATTTTATCAAATTTTAATCAATTTGATGTAATTTTCAATAATTTTCTCTCTTGAAATCACTTACTCGCACACTTACCTTTACCAGAAGAATCTCATTTGGTTTTGATCCCTTTACAGTTACATACATAATTCCTTCTTCTTCTGTAGGATTAGTCATATTCAAGAGACTGGTCGTATCTAACTTTTGCACCTTGTGTTTCTCTACTATATTTTGTATCTCATCTTCCTTTCCATTCTTTGTCGTTATCATTGGTATTAGTTTTCTTTTCAAGATATTCGGCTGCCACATTCCCTCTTTCTGATTTTCACTCTCTGAAGTCTGGGAGACATCAGATTTCATAGAAATCCCCTCATTTCCTTCCACTTTCACATAAGAATCTGCTACCATATCATACTTGTAGACAGTTTTGAGGGATTTTTCATCATCTTCTTCATCTACCAGGAGCGCAGGATCTTCGGGATCAAATTCTTCAATAGATTCTTCATCTTCTCCTTCTGGAACTTCCTCGAATATACCTCCTCCTATCTCTATAACCTCTTTCTCCTCTTTATCTTTGTTTTCTTCCTCCTTTTCCTTCTCCTTTTTCTCCTCCATCTCAAAATCATGTCCCATCTTTGATTCATTTAATGAAAAAATAGCACAGATTTTAGGAACAGAATTATCTGTTTGATTTTCAAGAATTTCTTGGTTTACGTATTCTGTTGATAATAAAGGTGGGTTTTGTTGAATTACAGAGGCTATTTGATGTTTTGAATTTGTTTCTGGAAAGAAGAATTTTCCTTATTTTCACAATATATAATCACATTTTTATCTTCTTTTTTTGTTTTTTTAATTAAGCGTTTTACAATTTACTATTATGTTCCAGAAGATTTTAAAGTCATAAAAATTTTAAACTCCTGTATGATACATAACAAATGATATATTGAGTACTTTTGGTAATCACGCTTTCTTTAGTTGATTTTTAATTTCAAGTTAATTTTTCTAACAATATGAGAATATCTAAGCAATTTTCAGTTAAAAGCAATAAAAAATTAAAATAATTTCTGAGAACAAATTTTTATATTATTTACACGTGAAGTTTTTATTTTAAAATCTTGATAAAACAAAATCAAACAATAAAAATGTTAAAAATCGTTAGACAGATAATGTTCTTTCAAAGTAGAACAATCTATATGTAATATACATTCATTGTAAATCGAAATATGTTAAAAAGAGACATGAAAAATGCAAAGAAGAGTACCTGAATAAGATGGCTGTTTATCCTCTTGTACTATTAAAGAATCGTTGATCGATGTTACTTTTTTCGCAGCGTTATCAGTCGTGAGATTGACATGGATAGATTTTAGTTTTATTTCAGCTTTCTTTATCTGCATGAAAAATTTATAACTCATTCTAAGGTCGCAGATACAATCCATGCACATCTGTGTGGACAGACCATCATAAGGATTAACTTCGAGATGCTTGATTTGCTGACTCAATCGCAGTTTGATGCCTTTTTCACTAAAGATATCCACCTACAACATAAATCAATTGTTGAGAACAGCTATAGCTTATGATGTAATCGATATAATAGCCAAATGTAATTAATAATCATAATATCTACTGCAGATAACCATGTGAATAGAACTATTCCAAAGAACATTAAACAAAATGTTTTATAAAATATAAAGACATCTTAATGTTCACACGAGACATTTTAGAACTATCAGAAAGATGTCTAGATGATGTCTTATGTCCTAATTTATAAGCCTTACAGACAGTATCCTAAAGACTTTCATCAGACATTTACTTAAAAAATAAAAATAAGAATAAATATGAAAATGCATTAACAAAAGGAAAAATATGAAGTACAAGAAAATTAATTCAATAAATCTGTCGATAGATAATAAATATATTAATGTACCATACTCATAGTAAACTTTGTTTATATAAATAAAATTTAGTGTCAATAATGTAAATAGCTATACATAAATAGTTATACTCTCCAGAACTGAAATAATTTTTAGATATCTCTTTTTAGAAAAGTCTTAAAGATGTCTTTTGACATTCCTCAAGGATGTCAATGATCCTCAATACTATAAACAATACAAGCACTAAAGCTACTATTTAAATCAAATAAAAATCACAATAAATAAAATAAATTCAATATTTTTTTATTTTCCAAAAAAATTCTATCGATTTACTGTAATATTTCAGTTTTTATAATTATTTAATTTTTTACCTGCTTATTTATTCTAATTTACTACTTTATCCATTTTATTTACTTTCCTCTTTTTTAATTTTAAATTAAATTCAAATTACAATAGAGTTTGTTTGGTTTAAAGAAAAAATATACAATGTTCATACCAAAGGTAGTTTTAGACCAGCGCAAGTACGACAATATTTTTTCAGTTCTTGTCGTGTCCTTTCAAGGATGGATGTATTATTTTGCTGTAACTTGCTGTTACTTAAAGATGAAATCCTGGTCAACTCATTTAAGCTCTCGGTGTCTTGTAAACGGACACGAGGCGTAATCTTCTTTAGCTCATTTATATCTCGAATTTGACCCACAACAGATCCTGTTTGAGATATTAAGCTGATGCTAGTGGTACCGTTGTTGGCATATTGAGATTTTGATTCACTGTAACTATGATCACGCTTGTTGATTTCAGGATTCGACATTTTCTCCTGATTTTCTTTATTTTTCAGAATCACTTGTACTTGCTCTTCAGCATGTGATAAATTTTTACTCAATATTTCTTATTTTCTACTTCTTTGTAAATTAGATATATGTCAAATATATCCACATCTTCATTTATTCCTGAAATATTTTTAATGACAAGATTTTTAAAAAATAAACAAAATGTAATCAAAATATAAAATATCTTATATTCTCTTACTAAAAAAAATTATTATAACGCAAAATAAAATACCTTAATCATTAAAGAATCTAGTGCAAATTATAGTATTACTAAACATTCTGTAATTTTTGCTTGTTTCTATCACATAATCACCTTCCTCTTTGCATTCTTATTACGACTTCGAAACTATAAAACTTCAGTAATACTACTAATGCCACACTATATGTTTCATTCTTATTAAGAAAATAGTATTAGTCGCATAAATATGTGTGCATTTATGATCACTGTACGAGCATATATAAAAACCAAAAGATTTAAAAAGTTTGTATTTCCCTGGAACTTTTTACAAAATTGCCAAGATGATCATCGATCAATCGCGGCAGAGAATCTCTCTCTCTCTCTCTTTTCTTCTCTTTGTGATTTTTTCCTTCTTTTTATCTTTTCTACAATAAATAAAATATATATACATAAAAATAGTTGTATTTACAAATTTTACATTTTATTCCTCCCGAGCAATATTATCGGTCAAAAATACACTACACTATCAATTCTTAAATAAATTTGGTACTCCATAAAAAAGTTTAACTCTAACCGAATCAAGTCAAGAACCGAGTTCAGGTTAGATAGAAGATTCGGCTTTAACGCAGAATAAATCTCAACCTCGAAGCTGCCGAAAACAGAGACGTGCTTTCAGAAACCGTCGTACTTGTCGCACCTCACACAAAACACAATATCGACGATAATGAAACCGTCTCCGACGAGAGGAAACTCTAAATTCGCAGTATACTCTGGTATACTCGATATTTGGCCGTAAGTTCCAGATGGCGCGTGCAAATGGCGGCCTTCCCACGGAAATGCTTGGAAACACCTTGAAATAATGGACGCGAGAAATGTTTTAAATTGGCTTCCGCACACAGAGCGCAGCAACTGGCGGCAAAGCTTACCGGAAGTTGTCCCAACAGCCAATCATTCATTTGCGTTTGTGGAAAAATAGTACATTGATTGGTTATCGTGCCAATTTTCGTGTTATGGCAAGCGTGATGACTTATTGACTCGTGGGGTACTATTCTGTAACTGCTTTTATACCGACAGGGATGCGTTCCGTATATCGAAGTGTTCATCCAGACGAAGTGTGATACGTCACTTACCGAGATTGGTTCGTGAAACGGAACGATTCTGGAATGTTTTTGCGTTAGGTTAGGTTGTACATACCTAAAAATACAAAACTTTTAATATATATTTTTGGTATGTACTATATATATTTAAATATATAAAACTGATGGAATATAAACCTAATCTAATCTACGCACACACTTCTACATATATTTCATCATCGCAATTTATTACATTATGTTGTTCTGCGCATGCGAGACGTTTCTCGTCGGAGTCTCGAGCACGATGAAAAGCTGTCGGCCGGGCGTTTAGAAATTGTAAGGGCTACGCAGAATAAAAGGAACAGAGAACAGGGTCCATATTCTGTACACGTCTGTGATAGCCAATAAGAACCGCACTTTTCTCCTAGAACAGTCTTTGCCATTGGCTATCGTTAATTATCGACACCGACAACTGTCGGTAGACGTGTATACAGAATATGGGCCCAGAGAATAAGAATTTCAACCTATCATGGGCCTTCTACAATAAGCCTTAAGTCAAATCATAAGTCATAGGCTAGAAATGGACCAACCACAGTCGTCAATTTTTAGTTTCTTACTTCCGATTTATGACTTATGGCTTATTGTAGAAGGCCCATCAGAAATCATATACTGTGGAATAAACAGTAGGTCTGTACTTTATTGCTGAACTTTTCACTAGTTCATCTTCTTTCCTTTTCCCTTCTCCTGGAGAGAAGAGGAAGAAAGATGAATTAGTGCAAAAGTTCAGCAATAAAGAACAGACCTAGTTTCTGATAGGTTGAAATTCTTAAGGTTGGATTATACTGGCCGTAATCTGTTAACTTATGCCGTAATCTGTAAAAATTGACCAATTATAATCGATTATTCCCCTCTCATTCGACTGTGATTGGTCAATTTTTACAGATTACGGCATAAGTTAACAGATTACGGCCAGTATAATCCAACCTTTATTCTCTGTTCTCTGTGGTTCCCTGTTTCTTTTATTCTGCGCAGCTCTAATACCGGCCATAGTCAATGTAAACATAGGGTGCGTTTCGTTTCTCGCATGGTGCGCATAATGTATGGTTTATCCTTGTTGCTCACCAAATATTAAACAAGGACATTGGATGCGCGATACAGAACCTATAGTCTCTATTACTACGTTTACACGGTTCGATTTACGCCGAAGTTATATAACATCGATGTTATAAAAGTGGCCAATCACAGTCATTCCATTCTTCAAAAGAATAGCTATGATTGGCCAGTTTCATAACATCGATGTTATAATTTCGGCGTAAAGCGTGCCGTGTAAACGTAGTATATGTGAAAACCTAACCGTGAAGACCATGATTTTGGAGCAATTTGAAATGATTTCAAATAAATAGTCTATCTAGGTGGATTATGGTAGATTTGTTCTTAATTAAAAAAGATTAAAATTTTCAAAGAGTTGACATCCGTAATATGTCGAATGAATTTGTGCATTCTGTTTCGGTCCCGCGTATCTACAAAGTCACGGCCGATATTGTACGCCGCGTACGAGAAGATGGTGCTAGTCTAAAAACGCTAATTTACGAAGGAAAGCATCCTGTAAGTGTAAAACGGATAATCGTAAGAAGAATATGAGATCAATTGGAAAATATCTGATCTTTCATTCTTCATACGTTAATTATGCTGCTTATAATTACGTTATAAGAATTTAATTTATCGTGTACGATTCAGAACGTGGCCGGCATATACGGCCTCGCGGTCAGCACCTTACAAGCATTACCTCAATTAGACCAGCTGTTTGACAAGACCCAAATTCTAACGGAACAACCGCGTCTGAATCCCTGGTTAGCCAGAGTTCTCATAACGGAGCTTTTATGGCGCAAGAGATGCCTGAAGAGCTGCTCCAAGCCAGTCCTAACTGTCCTAACTTACGAAAACAAACTACGGGAAGAGTCAAAAAATCTCGGCCACACAGAAACTTTTGTCGATCATAAAAGCAAAGGTAACTGCCTTTAATAATCACTGCATGTTTGCATTTTTACAGAATTTCGGTCTCCGGAGTTTCATCCTAGCGCAGTAAAGACCTCCTTCTTCATGGTTCTGATTATTCGCAACTGCAGAATATTATCCAGTCGACAGAATAAGCAAGTTAAAATTGGAAACCTGCAAGATTATCAAAGCAGATCCTGTCATCAGGAAACAATTTGCGACAGAAAGAACAATTGTATAATGGGTCTGACAACAGTACTGGGAACATTGTTTCTCTACAGCATTGCTATGTTTACTTTGCCGTTTGCTGCTTTCTTTACGATACAACATATCATGATAGTAAAATTCCAAACTGATACTGCCGTGACTAATTACATTTCTGTACTGGCTGCCGTAATCACAGTGAACTTGATTATCTCCTGTTATGTTTATCAGGCTTTAAACGAGCCTGATGAAGAGAAGGAGCAAAGTAAAGATGAAATTGGAGTAGAAATTAAAGAGAGTTTAAATAAGAAAGATGATTAAAATTGGTTTTCTTTGCAAAATACGAATTTGTAAAAAAATGTGTAGTGTCAAATATTTTTTATATTATTTAATTTAAAAATGAGGACTCTTTGTTACTTAACAAAGGATTATATTATATATGTGATTGTTACGTCTATGTGCATAATACAGAAAATAAGGTTTACTAAAAATGATGTAAATATATATATATGGTGATATAATGATGAATAATTTTTATGGAATAAAATTGCAACAAAATGTTTAGTATTTTATTTTTAAAACATTGTAAATTGACCTATATAAATCCCTTTCAAAAAATAATATTTTAATTCTGCTATTTATTCTACATGAGAAATAAAAAACTTATTTGCATACTTTTATTTCGAAACATTGTACTACTCATTTCATAATGTGGTAGGAAATATTAAAATGTATATTTATAACAAATGATATAATATAATAATGTAAAGAATTGAATTAGATATTTTAAGTGCACGATTAAAATCAAACTTAAATTTTAATGTAATATCTGATTTCAATTAAGATTTTTGAAATGTTTTGAGGTCCGGTCTTTTTCGAACACTCTGCCGTAGCGATGGAACGATACACTTCCGATCCTAGGTCCATTTGTAAAAAATAATCCTTTTGGTGTCTGACTTTAAAAATTTGAATTTTCGAACATCTTGTATAAAATTAAAAAAAATAATATATATAATGTATTTAATTTAATTATATAATGTATTTAATAGTTTCTTCAAAAAGATTCAACTGTATTTCTTTTCTCTTTTCAGTAAAGAGACCTAGATACGTTCGTGTCAATACTCTTCTTTTATCAGTGGAAGAAGCAATAACCATTTTCCAAAAGGATGGATGGCAATTACTACCGAAAAGTACAACATATTCTTCATATCTACAATCCTTATCGCAGTTATCAAAGCCATATTTTATTCAAGACCTGCATGTACCAGAAATGTTAGCTTTTCCGCCCTTGACAATCTTTCACAAACATAGCGGCTATCACGATGGCGAGTTTATTCTTCAAGATAAGGTATAAATAATAAAATCTTTTCTATCTATATAGTGATAATATTTTCTTTGTAACTTGTGTGATTATTTTGGTATTATTAAATACTTATTACATAACTAATATCTTTAAAAATGTATGTGTGAGAATGTTTTTATAACTATTTAATATAAAAGTTCATATTTATTCAACTTTTACCAAATTTTTTTTAATAGATTAACAAATAAGTATTATTAATATAATTTATATCTATTACTAATACATAATTTATAATTAACGTTATTAAAATTTAATTAAAAATTAGTAAAGAAAAGAGATACGTTTAATAGTTTTTTAATGTTGAAAACCTTCTTTCACTTTTAGGCTAGCAGTTTGCCGGTGCATTTGTTGAATCCTGTTAGTGGTTCTGTAGTACTGGACATGTGCGCTGCGCCCGGTATGAAGGCTACTCATGTGGCAGCAAAACTGCAAAATAACGGGTATACAGTTTGTTTCTCAATTAGATTTATTATTAGATAATACGTGAAAGATGAAAATGAAAAAAAAATATATATTAATATCTAATATTTATTTTCGAGTAATTTGAGTAAACTAAAATTAAATTAAGTTTAGAAACAAATAATTTAATATGAATTAATAATATAAAATAAGGCCCAATAAGTATAAAACAATATGAATTATTATTTTCAAATAGGAAAGTTTATGCTGTGGAAATTGATGCTAAGAGATTTGGAACCTTACTCAATCAGATAGAAAAGACTCGTGCCCTCTGCGTGAAATCTCTTAATCAAGATGCCTTAACTCTCGATCCAAAGTTGTATTCACATGTGGCATACATTCTAGTCGATCCAACTTGTTCTGGATCAGGTAAAAATCCTTTATTTTTTGATATAAATGTCAAATTTTTAAATTAATCAAAGAATGTAAGATTAAAGAAGTAGAAAATTATTCTTTTTATGATTCTTTGCATTATTTAATCGTAAATTATCCTTTTTTTTGTAAAATATACCGACATAATTTTCATTTATGTATGATTAATGATATAATCTTACAATTTTCATTAAAGGTATTGTCGACAGACCAAGACAGACCGAGATGGATGGAATGCCCGAACCAAAGCGCTTGCAAAATTTACAATCGTTCCAAGTTTATCTTCTGAGATTTGCGCTGTTCAATTTTCCAAATGCGAAAAGAATAATCTACAGCACTTGTTCTCTACATCCCGAGGAGAATGAGGAAGTAGTAGACGAAGTTCTGGCCAATGTTGGAAACGCTTATCGTTTGTTACCAATTAGGCAATTACTTGAAAATAACTGGACCAACTTCAGCTCGAAAAATTATAACTGTGGAGATTTTTGTTTGTACTCGAAGCCAGATAATGATTTTTGCAATGGTTTTTTCGTCGCAGTATTCGAGAGAAATTTTGATGTAACTCTGCCAAAGTGCAGACTTAAAGGGGGTAACGAATATAATATGAATTTTATTAAGGCTGACTTGAATATCAAGGAAGATGATATGGCGACAACATCAGCACATCAACAAGAGGAATGTGGAAAGAAGACAAAGAAGAAGAAGAAGAAGAAAAAGAAGGAAGCAGTTTTGATGAATGACGAACAAACGAAGATATCGACAGGTATTATTGAATTTGAAGTATCCGATATAGATAACAAAATAAAAGCAAAAAGTAAAAAAGAGATTGACAAAATGGATGTTTGCAACAATTTATGTAATTTTAATCATAAATTAGCATTGAATGAATCTAAAGATATACAAAAGGAGACATTAGACATCATGGAAACGAAAAAATCAAAGCATGAAGATATACTTCAGGAAACTGTTTGTGACGAAAAAGAACAAAATAAAGACATTAAACTGTCAAAGAAAAAAAAGAAAAAAGAAAAAAAAATCAAAATTGATGAAATTTATAAAATAGAGCAAGGGGAAGAAACTGTAAGACCATCAAAAAAGAGAAAAAAAAATAACGAAATTCATTAAATGGGAATAAATATGTTGTTAAATGAGAAATCATGTATTTTTTTTATTGTATCATCGAATTATTCCTTATTCCGCTGTTTAAAAAATTGTCAACAATAAATGAATGTTGTATATAGTTTTTTGCTATGTTAAATTTTATAAGAGACTAGAAAGAAATCTGTGTGCTGTATTTGTACTTCTTTTAATTTTTTTGTCTTCATCTAAACAAAAAATAGATACATAATATTTATATTAAAAGATAACAAAACTTATTGATTATTCTATCCACTTTATTAATTGTCAATGACTAATATATACATACCCAATGTATATAATGACCAATATATACATACACTGTTAGAAATGCTTCCTTTCCATGTAAATGATGCTCGTGGTGAACGAAATTAAAAGTAATGAATGATTTAACTGAAAATTAAGTTACAGTAGCTACTTAAATGTAATGAGCGTGTACATTAAATTTCATAAAATTTTATGAAAAGTATATCAAATTTCATAAAGTTTTATGATAAATACGTTAAATTTTATGTACATGTACGCAAATATGTTTCAAATGTAATGTTATATCATGAAATTGAATTCAAATTGTGTAACTTAAAAGTACATAATTTAATTTCATGAAATTTTTAACAGTGTGACTATTTGTGATCGATAACTAAGAAAGCGAGCAAATTTTTTTACCTACTGTAAGTACATATTCATTGAATAATAAAGAAAAACAAAAAGAAAAGGTGAGAGAGAGAGAGAGAGAGAGAGAGAGAGAGAGTGTGTATATAAGTTGTATAAGTACTATATACAATAAGTCTTCAGACTTTAAGCTATAAGAAATGGGTGAAATATATACATATTAATTATTTTCCTTGTATTCGACTATAATTGGTCAATTTCTTACGACTTAAGGTATAAATATATTATATAATATTTATGATTTCAATAAAAATAGAATAGATTACGTATTGTCGATTAAATTAGTAAATATAATTTTATTTAAAAAGAGGTTCTTCAGAATCTGTATAGGATCTATAGATAACATACAATCTCTAAAACTTTTTGATAAAATGCTTACAATGACATTTTTTAAATATTCTTTTTTCTTTTTAAATTGTAATTGCTTGTATATTTTTATTCTTTGTTTTAAATTTTCATTCTCATTAGTAATTCAAGAAATACAGAAATCCTAAAAAAAAACGAAATACAGATACTTATTTGATATTTGATATTTCGTTCATTTCTCGCGATAATGTTTAGGTGGCTCGGGATAAGAGACTTGTAGTGTCTCTCAGTTTTTGAACACTACCGCGTCTCCTGATTTTTTGAACATAAGCTCATATTGATTATATTTGAAAATTGTGTTTGTACTCTCAAAGAGTAATCGAGATTGATGTATAATGGAATTATACAATCATGTATAAACATGTATAAACACTATGGTCACTGCAATGAGATATTAATTGTTTACTATCGTAAAAATTTTTGTACTACTCTAAAGTTAAAACTGACGGAATAGCCCCGCTCTGTCTCAGCTTTTTAATTTGTTCTTTTTTCTGATTTTTTAATATATGTTAATTACTGTACACACGTGACGATTTTTAAAATAAAAAAGGGATCAACCGACATTTTGCCTCGCTGTCATATATATTAGGAAAAAGAATATTTTTGGAAATAATTTGCATAATCAGACAACGCTTATATTGTATTACGTCACATATAATATAGGCAAGTACTCATTTTATCAGCAATTCGCGACAAGGGTAGCACGGAAGCCTGTTGACCTCCTTGAAGTCAAACCGATAAGCATGCGTCGATTATGCCGAGGTATAATTGCGGTGAAAAAACCTTTTCTGATGTATGTACATATACGTATACAGACTTTGATATAATTACGCGATAACTATGATTCAGTTTTCTAACTTATCCCTTTATTGCGAGGTACATTACTTAACTTGCTAGAATCACGTCGCGTGAGTCACGACACGAAATGTCGAGAAATATATTGTCTATTAGCACTATAACTTAAAATATCATATAAGAGCTGATCACGATGTAACGTGTATGACTACGAGGTGTTAGAGGATCGAAATTAATTATTACGTCACAACTATAGCGGCGCATCAAAATTGTTTTTCTTAAGGTCGAGTTTCTTCTAATTTTTGTTTCTCCACCAACGAAGTTATAAGCATGACTTTCAAAGAAACGGAATAAAATCTTAACTTAAATATATACATAATATAATATATAATCATTTAGATCCAATATACACTCATAGCCTATTTATAAGCATGACTTTCAAAGAAACGGAATAAAATCTTAACTTAAATATATACATAATATAATATATAATTATTTAGATCCAATATACACTCATAGCCTATATATGAGTCATAGGCAAAAAAACGGGTCATTAAATTTTAGCACAAATTTTTAATATCTTCAAACAGCGATAACTTAATGAAAAATCATTATAGCGAGAGCTTGAAATCTCTATTTTTCAGATCGGTACTTAAAAAACGGTCAAACTGATATTATGTGAAGTTGCACAAACATAAATGAAAATTCATAAAATCTTAAAAAATTTGCAAAGTTCCACGGCGCCAATTAAAAATTGCACACAAATAGGGTTTACAGCTTTCGAAAGAGTGATTCTTTACCTTTAATTTGCTTTTTTATTGAGCTCTGTACGATTTTTTTCACTGAGTTATTCAACATTGAAGTAAAAACAACCCTTCTTCCTGATGTCAAATATGACTCTAATTAAAGAAAAAACTACAGGCAAATTTTAAGATAAAATAACTTCATCAAGAATTACTGTATCGAGATGTTTAAAAAAGCATTTTAAAGTTTGAAATTTTTACTTTTCATATCGGTATTTCAAAAAACAGTATTACTGATATTTCGTGAAGTTACATAAGTAAAAGTACGTCAAACCTCAAAATTTTTTACGAAATTTGAGAAGTTTTCCATCGAGAATTTAAAATTGTGCACAAATACGGTTTACAATATTCGAAAGAGTGAATCTTTATCTTTAATTTGCTTTTTTATTGAGCTCTGTATGATTTTATTTCACGGAGTTATTTAACATTGAAGCAAAAACGACCCTTTTTGTTTCAACGTTGAATAACTCCGTGAAATAAAATCATACAGAGTTCAATAAAAAAGTAAATTAGAAATAAAGATTCACTCTTTCGAAAGCTGTAAACCGCATTTGCGCACAATTTTTAGTTCGCGTCGTGGAACTTTTCAAATGTTGTAAAAAATTTGAAGATTTTATGCATTAGCATCTTCATTTGTGTTTGTGTAATTTCGCATAATATCAGTTCGATCGTTTTTTCAAGTACCGATCTGAAAAGTAGAGATTTCAAGCTTTAAAATGCTTTTTTAAACATCTCGCTACGATGACCTTTCACTGAATTATCGTTGTTTGAAAAAATTAAAAATTTGTGCTAAAATTTAGTGAACCATTGTTTTAGCCTGTGAGTGTAGAAAGCTTAAAAATGTGGAGTTAAATTTTATGAATATTTTTATCTTTATATCGCAAGCAAATTTAAACTTGTGCTAATTTTACCATTTTTCCTCTCTTTTTTTTAAATATAGAAGTAATACTACTAATACAAATAAGCATGTGGATCGTACGTTATCACGCGACGTCAAAATAACTGAATTTCCAAATTTTCATAAATTTATTGCAATTGAAAGAATTTAAATATTTTGTAAAAATCCAAAAGTAAATATATTTGTAAGAGATGAGTTATATGTCGCATTGCTCAATTGCCATACGCGAATTATCGGCAATTATTTGCTTTCGAGTACAGTAAAAGTATAATTAGCGGTGATAAAAAAAATAATTAATGCGTTTCGCACTCTTGTGTGATGCGTCTCTTTGAAATTTTAATGTCTATGCAACAAGTTCCGCGTTCACTGACACGGGGCGTCGACGCCGCCCCGACAAAGAGCGACGACGGAGACGGCGAGAAAGGACGTCGACGGTGGCCGGCGGCGCCGAGGTTGCGCGACCACTCGACGTCGGGACGCCATCGTCGAAGGACGCATGAATATGTATACTGCCACTGCGATCTTCGCGATTCAACCGAATCAACTTCGATAAGGCTATTCGTCCGCGATCCATACTCGCGCGACGACATGAACGCCACCATCGACGAAATAATTATAATGCCGTGAATTTTATGTCGATCGTGAATCGACAATTGCAACGTATAGTGTCAGTGAACTTTGGTGAACTTAGTGTTTTCTTCAGCAGATTCCCTCCTGCTTTGTTTCCACGGTGCCAGTTGATTGAATCAAGTTAGTACAAAATATTTCTATTATTTATTACATTATCTTTAAATAAAAAATACAGCTACGACAAGTTTAATTATATTTTTAATGAATTTTTCTTTTTATACTGTATTTACTCATTTATATTCAAAATTGTACGTGTTTAACGATTATAACGTCATATGTTTTACGATTTTACGTTTTAAAAGTATTTAAAATGATAACCATTGCAATCGTTTATTTTTAAATCTTGTTTCAAGTAATGTTTAAAGGTTGCGATAATGTTTAATAAATTTATAATAGGCCGCAATCTGTTAGCTTTTGCCGTAATCTGTAAGAATTGATTAGGTCGAATGAAAGAGAAATAATTGACTATGATTAGTCAATTCTTACAGATTTTATATATATATATATATATATATATATATACCATATATATATGTATGGCCTGTTATAAACCTCAATCCTAACTCTCTCTTTCAATACTCAAGTCTTTTATAAAAAAAAATTAAATAGTGTAAAACATGATATATCAATAAATTTAATTTGAATTTTTTAGACTTCTAATCAATAATTTTACTTTATAGAAAGATGAACAATTTTTTATATTATTCTAATAAAGTTTTTATCATATCGCGATCATATAATCTGAATACCTTTAAAAAAATAGATTTTCTCTGTGAAAATCGGTTAAATTATAGATGCAACATTTTAGTACGATACACATCTCGAAAAAGTCTCAAGAATATATTTTCCAAAAACTTGGCATTATTCTAAAGTATTATTAGGTTTTTCTTTTATTAACTTATTAGATTTAAAATAATATGTGTAGAAGGGCTACGAGCCAGAAAACAAATTATTAGATTTATATATATATTATAGTTAGTATAATATGACGTATCGGGATCCATTGTAATCGAGGTATTGTCTTCGTCAGGTGAAATTGTCGCTAAATATTACAGAAATTAGACGAGATGAAAAACGAGCATATAAATCATTGCAGAAAGTAGCCGATGCTGTTTTGCATTTCGAGAATGGTGTGTCACGCACGCCCAGTCTCATACATACCAGGGGTCAGTAGGGGATAGTTGTTCGAGTTATATCGCGGTTTTGGGCTCAACGTGATATAAACGCGATCTGAAATTATTAAATCAGATGGATGTTATCATGTAATGTTGTATAATTTTCCATATTTATATAATCAAACATGTGCAGGATAAAAAAATTGCTACATAAACTCAGAACTTAAATAAGTAATGTAAGTATTGTTAATAAGAACACACACGATAAAATATAAGAGACATAGATTTGAAAATTAAGCAATGTATTGTATGATTCGTATACATTCAATCACTCATAACGTCATATAACAGTGTCAATCATAAAAAGACGACGTATGAGAATTGATAAAACATATATCTGTCCGAATTGCTGATCGATGGATCTGCAGTGGGAGTTGCAGTTGCAAAATAAAAACGACCGATCGATCGGGAATCCCAGGCTATCACGCAATGGTGATCGACTGACCATAGCGCTTATATAGCGTTCTCAAAGTGGCCATATTCGTGGTATTTGTATCATGTTTTGATATAACGAACCTTGAAATGTCAAAAAACATTGCACGCTCTACTCGTGCTTGCGAATTTCCGATGCAGGTGCAATTGGTCTAATTTTACAGACAAATTTAGTTGACCGCTGTATATGCATTTATGTCAGCTATATGAAGGCAAACAATGATTCTTTTATCTTTTTTTGTAATGATTTGTATTGGCACGAAATTTATTCACATTTAATTGTTTATATTCTTTTGCCAATTTATGATAGTTCAAACAATATAAAATAATATATATTTTCCAATGTTTTTGAAAATTAAGTCTTTTTTAAAATAAATATTATTTATATCTATAATATTATCACATTTTATAATATTTCGTAAAATTTTAATTTATTTCATCGCAATTCCCTTATAATTTTTAATTTTTAACTTTGTAATAAACTTGTCATCGCGTTGCAGACACCGCAGGTGTATGATTCATTAAGTGAATAAGCAAACTTTCCTCATCCCCCTGTCGGAGGTCTGAATTTTTTTTCTATAATCGCAAAAGAACCGGCCGAGCAAGGACACGCGAAAGTGGCGGCGGCCTCGCTTTGCGGATGATTGAGACTGAAAATCAGTCGGACTCGCGTGTCAGCAGACTGGGCCAGCAGAACGAGGATCTCCTCGTAGCTGGCGACGGTAACGGGGTTGACGGTAACGGTGGTGATCGCGAGGCTAGTGACCAAGCAGCTGCTGCAACCACCGCAACGACGGTGGAGGACGCAGGTAAGAGTGTGAGAGATCTAGATTACTTCCAAGCTTATCATATCTTAAATCACGTATAATATATATGAGGATTGTTTATAATCCTCAACAATTATAGTATATTAATTAACATATTATTAACATATGTATTCTATATATATTATATTAATTAACATATTCTACATATAATATATGTGGAATATGTCAATTAATGTAATGTAATTAAATAAGACTCGATGGTCTTAACTTATTCCGACTAAATAGCAATCTAAAGCTTTCTTTTTTTTTTTTTTTTTCAAATCATTTTCATTTTTATTGTACTGCATTATTAGCACACATGTGAAATATTAACATCATGTAAAAATTCTATTAGTCACTTTTATTCTACATAAGCATTCTACGCCAAATAGCAAAAGTATATGTAATAAGAGTATACAGTGCAAATATATATACAGTGCAAAAATAAAAATTTAATTTACAAAAATACGAACGCGGCTAAAAAAAACTAAAATTTAAATTTAAAAGCATAATCACGATACGGAATTCGACTCAGTCGATTTGAAAAGTTCCTACTCTTCCATTCAGGTGCAATGAGAAAAGAGGATCAAGAAACGTCGCGGATTCACGAGAATTCGCTGAAGGGCGGCGTCGCCGCGAACGTCGCGACGCCCACAACGGCATCGACGATGCCGGTGGAGGACGACGATGAGGATGAAGAAGAGGCAGAGGAGGAGGACGAAGAGGAGGACGCCGAGGAGGAAGAGGAGGAGGATGGAGTCGAGGAGGGTGGAATCGCAGTGGAGGGTGGAATGACGACGCAAGAAGAGGTCGGGGGTGTGTTGGCCGGTGGTGAAGGTGGGGGTGGTAGCGGCATGGCCGGCTACTGGAGGCAGAGCAGACCCTCCAGTCCCCGCATGCCGCCTCCGGAGCAGTCGGAGCAGCCGAGCCGACCCAAGAGCCGGCACGAGCTACAAGCCGCGAGATATAATAACCTCGGCTACTGGCGAGCAAGAAGAGTCACCTTTTACAAAAATGGCGATCCTTATTTTCCGGGGGTGGAATTCAGGTAAACATTATTTCTCATTCGTTACTTCAAATCAAGAAGCTTAAAAAGATGTTGATAGAAATACTTGTTTGATTCATTATTATACATCACAACGAATTTATTATATGAATATCATTCGAAACTGTTAACATAAATATTTCTTTTTCTATTCTGTTGTAGAAAGTATATAACGAAATATATTTAATATATAGGCTTTTATTCTTCTGTTATTCATATTTCTTTTTTGTTCTGATAGCTTAAACATATTCAATAATTATTGAGGTAATTATTTTAATGTTAAATTTTATACAGAGATCAAAATAAAATTAATTACACATATATAATTACATGTATAATTGTAATATAAATAACAAACTAATTTTACACACACGCCTGATAAATATGTATCTATACGTATGTATGTACACAAAGTATACATGCATACGTACATATATACATACGTGAGATAGGGAAAGATAGGAGCGTGTGATACATACCCGTGCACACACACACACACACACACACACACACACACACACAC